CCGGGCCGGCTCGGGCCTGCGGCCTCTGGCTTCTCAGTAACCGAAGGAGATGAGGCCACAGGACTCGCTATTTCTCAATCAAATGGATTCAAGCCTCAGACACAACCCGGGTAGACGGGGGCCTGCAGGCGGCACAGGCGGACGTGCTCTCTGTCCTCGCACGACGGGCCCCCAGCGCCTGGGCCAGTTGGGTGATGGCAGCGCTGTTCTCTGCCTGCGTGAGTGATCCTCCGCCTGGGTGTCGGGCTGGGTCGGGACAGGAACCCACGTGACCTGAGCTGGGGGCGGGGCAGCGAGCATCCCACCACCCCGAATTCCTCTGAGGCAAAGGCCACGCAGGGAGTGTAAGTCCTTAGATGCCAGGGAGGGGACCGTGCACGGACTGGACAGTGAAAACCCTCCAGTGCTGTTTGCTGGCCCTGTGGGGCCTCCCCGCACCCTGGGCCCCCCGCAGCACTGGGCTGGGCCCCCCAGATGCTGGGCTGAGCCCCCATGCAGTGCTGGGCTGGGCCCACTGCCCCACCCGAGCACCAGGCAGAGGAGACTGGTCCGTTGATGCGGTTTCCTCCCGCCTCAGCTCCCAGGGCTGCAGGGCTGCCCCCCGGCTACAGTGCCCTCTGAATTTTGAGTAAATCCGTCTAGTTATCTGGGGAGGGGGCGGTCCACGAAAGAAAGTGAAAGTACTGTCAGGAGTGGTGGAATCGAGCCCGTTCATTCATCAAAATGCTCTTCCATGTTTGACCCGAGGTCCTTGAGGTAAAAGCTCTGAATCGGGGTTGTTACCTTTCGGTGCCTAGACCCCCTCTTCTCACCCCAAGGCCTGATGCCCCGTCTCTCTGCACCCCCAGCCCCAGGCATGGTTTCAAACTTGGGGCCTTAAAACACACACGTTCTCTCTCAGCGCCGAAGCTGGGAGCCGAGACCAGCGTCACTGGCTGACGCCCAGGTGTTGGCAGGAGCGGGACCGTTCTCGCTGTCCCAGGGGCTACAGCTGCCCCAGCCCGGCCTCGTCTGCAAAGCCTCCTGCTCCAGTGTCACGTGGCCATTACCCCTGGGTCAGACCCCCCGCCTCCCTCATACAAGGATGCTCGGGACGGCGTTTGGGGCTACAGGGTGACAGGAGACAGTATCCCCATCTCAAAGTCCTGGATTTTATCCCCACGTGAGGGCCAGTCTCAGGGGACCTGGGCATCTTTGGGGGTCACCGTCCAGCCCCCCTCCCATCCAGCAGGATATGGCGGCCCCGAGGAGGGCTGGGTCCGGCACATCCCAGAAACAGGAGGTGGTGCGGGGGAGCGGGAGCCAGGAAAGGTGGAGACGATGTTCCCAAACGGTGGAGGGATGTGTGTGTGTGGTGGACGGACCAGCTTAGGGGCTCTGCAGGGACCCCAGAGAGAGGTGGTGCTGGACAGGTTTCCGCGTCCCTGGGGCCAGCTCAGGCGTTTCCTGGGGAGATCGCCATCTGTGTGTCTGTGAGACGCGGTCCAGCTCTGCAGAGGTGCCCTGATGGGAGGGAGGTAGGTTCAGGGAAAACCGAGGACCCCCGGACCGAGTGTCCCAGGGGCTTTTCAGCAGAAGACAAGACCCGGGACCCGGCCCTGTGAGGCTGCAGGCAGAGAGTGCTGGGGACCGACACACCGACCAGGGTCAGGGCCAGGCCCCGCAGGGTGTCACCTTGCCCGCACCCCGTGACCCCTATCCTCCTCTGTGGCCAGACGTGCGACCGCATCAAGCAGTCGGCCAGCGGGACGAAACGCCGTGTCTTCATCATAGAGACCATGGGCGGCTACTGCGGCTACCTGGCCAACATGGGGGGCCTGGCCGCCGGGGCCGATGCCGCCTACATCTTCGAGGAGCCCTTCGATATCCGGGACCTGCAGGTACGTGGGCGGGCCGCCGCCCGGGGCGTCACTGCTGACGCACCAGGTTTGGGCGCCCCCGCTGACCCAGGACACTGACACCAGGGACGTGTGTGAGGACCGTGTCCACACAACAGGGTGACAGTAGGAACACGGGTCCCAGGGCACCTGCTGGTCTTTAGCCCAAGCTTATGAGTTTGTCTCTCACGTTCCTGTGACAGTGATTCCCTCGTTCCTAGGAAGGCCCTGCCCCGTCAGGGGACGAGGGCCTGTTCACTGGGACCGGTGGCCTGGTGGCTGCGAACCTCCAGGCCGTGGGGTCACGCAGGGCAGCCAGCCTGGGGGCCCCGTGGGTCCGAGGCAGGGAGAGACCTGGGTGGTTGGAGAACAGCCTTCCGGCAGCAGAGCCCGCCCGAGGAAGCACTGCCCCCCGCCCTGGTCCCTGGGGAATGCCGGACTCCAGGGGCGCACACCCGAGGGATGTGGCCCTGAGGTCACAGTGCAGTGGGCGTGACTCACGCTGTGCGGGGAGCGGGTGCTCGACCCGGGACAGGAGCTGCACTCTCCGCCTGCCCCTCCTGCTTTCACGTCCCTTTCTCCCTTCTGCACGTTTCCTCCCTGGAGATACAGCGCTCCTTTCCCGAAGAGACTGTGCACCAGTCTGAGCGTCTCCTGGCCCGAAAACGCTCATCAGGCAGTTTTACGCGTTTGTGCGCAGTAAGGCACCAGGTGGTCGTTTGCCTCTGAGGCAGAGCGCACCCTGGTGGGAACAGACAGATGAGGGAGAAGAGCAGGCTTCCGGCGGGTGCGCAGGAACTGACACCACAAAGGGGGAGCATCTCCCATGGGTGCTGGGTGCGCGCGGCTCCGGGGACACAGTCCCTCCCGCTGTGGCCTGCGCGTCCATGGTCCCTGGCATTTGTCACTAACGGACACGTCACCCTTCCCCTACAAGGAAGCTCAGAGCAGCCACCCCGACCACCCACCGCCCCGTTCACGCAGCAGGTCGGGCAGGGCCCAGCACACAGTAGGTGCGTAGTAAGTTTCCACCTGCCTGACAGACAGACCCTCTTTCCTAGTCCAACGTGGAGCACCTGACGGAGAAGATGAAGACCACCATCCAGAGGGGTCTCGTGCTCAGGTACCGGGTCGTCAGGGCAGGGCCGTCTCACCCCGCCCCCGCCCGGCCCGGCCCCCCCACCCGCCCCGCATCCTGAAGGAGGGAGGGGGCTGAGCGGCTGCACTTCCTGCTCAGACCTGTGGGCCTTTAATCCTTCAAGGGCACTTTAAAAACTTCATGTGTAGCCAGTCTTTCTTAAGATCCTGCAAGTCGTACCTTCCGTGAGGCGCTGAGCTGCACCGGGGAGGGAAGGCGTGCGGGCGCTGGAGGGGGGCACGTGCGGGTACGCGTGCGCCAGGGGGACACAGGCGCCTGTGTTTCAGGAACGAGAGCTGCAGCGTGAACTACACGACCGACTTTATCTACCAGCTTTACTCTGAGGAGGGCCGGGGCGTGTTCGACTGCAGGAAGAACGTGCTGGGCCACATGCAGCAGGTGGGCGCTCGCAGCCCGCACACGGGGCGCCGTCTCAGCCGGGCGGGGGAGACCTGCGCGCGTAGGTTAGGGTTAGACTGACGGTAAACTCTGCACTGTGTTGGGATGGCACCAGACATCGCGAGCTTCTAGAACTACGTCCGTTGTGACATTTGGGCAGCTGGGCTGTTCAAGGAAAACCACCCCCTTTCGTATAAATGGTGACACCAATTAAGTGGAAAAACTTACTCAGATGATTCAGTGCTGGGCCTCAGTAGCCTTTTAAATTGGAGCAGCAGACAAATGACACTGACCTGAGATATGCACAAAGTCGGAGCGACTTGGAAAGAGCCCCAGACCCTGGGGCCGGTGGACAAGGCTCCCACGGCAGGCCTGCGCCGGCTGCCCCCACCTCAGTCCCCGAGTCTGAGCCAGTTCTTAAAGGAGCTGTGCCCCCCCTCCCCCGGAAGGTTAAGGAGTCCTGATGAAGACGCTAAAGTAAGGAAGATGCTAGTTGACCAGTCGGCTGATTAAAAGCCTCTGGTTGCGGGGGAGGGGCTGTGATGCTGGCGGCCGCGCCCTGGCTGGGGTTCCGGGGCGGGGCTGGTTTGGTTTGGTCCCAGCCGTGTCCAAGGAGACAGAAGTATGCAGAAAAGGAAACCCAAAACCCACATTTACAAATTTGAGTCTCTTAAAAATGTCGTGTCTCCCTGAACAGCAGTGATTTTCATTTCTATTCAAAAACTAAGCCAGGAAGATACTCGTGCGATGAACCCTCATGTAGCTCTCACCACCCACAGGGTGGAGCACCTTCGCCGTTTGACAGAAACTTCGGGACCAAACTTTCTGCCAGAGCCATGCAGTGGGTCACCGCGAAGCTGAAGGAGCCGCAGGGGGCAGGTACGGTGTGCGGCCGGGCTGGGCGGCCGTTTCTCCCTGGCTTCCAGCGGCTCAGCCCCACCGCTGCTGCTGCCGCCTCACGGTCTGATTAGGGAGAAACAGCATTAGCGAAGCCAAGTGCCCACCACCGAGGGCAGCGTCTGGCCACGCAGCGACGCCCCTCTTCCTTTGCGAGAACCCTGCCCCCACACGAGGGCTCGCTGGCAGGGCTCCGCGGACCGCTCTGAACTGGCTTTTACTTAAGACGTGTGACTTCTTCACCGACGCCTTCACGACCCCCCTTTTGGAGAAAACGACATGGGATGGGGAGGTGTCTAGGCGGCCTCCTCCTCGGGAGCTGAGGCGGGTCCCCTCCACCCCTTCAGACACCCTCCCTCCGCAGGGAGCGCAGACTCCTGACCCTCTTGTGTGTAGAGACCTGCTTGCGTTTGTTTCTTGAGTCAGGCTGTTATATTTTCTAGGAATTTTTCAGTTCACCTAAAATTTCCAAGCATGGCATGGAAGCCTCGGTCGTACCGTCTTACGCCTACAGCGTCTCTGTCCCCCATTCACGCCATGTTATTTCTCCCCCTCAGTTTTCTTCATCAGTCTGACCAGATCAGTGTTCTTTTTAGTTTTAAGTAATTTCAGCGTAATTTTAATCTTCAGAAAATTGATTTCTTGATTCTGAGTTTGTTTTTTACATTAACTCCTGCTTCTGTATTTCTTTCCACTTCTTGGATTTATCCTCCTCTTTCCCCGGCTCAGCTAAGGACAGGTCACTCACTCGCAGCCTCTCACCAGATGTGCTGTCTGGAGCATCAGTTTCTTGTGCAATTTTACTGAAACCTGTCCTTTAAGTTTTCCTGCTGCCGCGCCGTGTGGAGCGTTTACTCCCCACCCACTCTAAGAGCGCTCCTTGTGCGCCCCCTCGCCTGGCGGCTCCCAGGACCGGAGGGAGTGCTGGGGCCTCGGCCTCCGCCAGCGGCGGCTCCGAGTCTGAACCCTTCCTCTCCCCACGTGACTGCTCCCCCGGTCGGCAAACCTCTCCTCCTCACCTCTCCTGCCGGGTCAGCACGACACATTATTTGTTTTCTTTTCTTTCATAGGAAAAAGGTTTGTAGCGGATGATTCCGTGTGTGTGCTGGGAATAAGCAAAAGGAACCTTGTGTTCCAGCCCGTGGCAGAGCTGAAGAAGGAGACGGACTTCGAGTAAGTGCCCGGGACTCGGGCGGCCTCACTGCCGCGGGGAGGGGGAGGCAGCAGGCCCGCTGCCAGGTCCTGGACACGACCGTCCTCCGCCCTTTCCCTGAGAACTGGCCTCTCCTCGTCACGTGACGCTGCCCTCATTCTGCTCTGTCTGGAACTCGCAGCTGCTCCAGCTGGTCTTAGATTTTGATGTCAGCCTCATTCACCTTCTGTAACCCTTGGCTTCTAATACATCTGTCATTACACACATGCATCCTCCACCCCAACAGGGGCGCTGGGGCTTGGACCCCGGCCCTCGTGCACACTGAGCACACGCTCTGCCACTGCGCTGCACCCCCGCCCCCTTCAGTCCTCACTTGAGACTCTGAGAACCGGGGCAGCTTTCAGGTGTCTGAGTGAAAAGTGTGCTCTCCTCCTGCCTGTCGGGCCCCCCACGGCCCCCTCCGCAGGAGCCACGGCTCAGGGCCCGTCCTGTCCCCTCTGCAGGCACAGGATCCCCAAGGAGCAGTGGTGGCTGAAGCTCCGGCCCCTCATGAAGATCCTGGCCAAGTACAAGGCCAGCCTCGAGCTGTCAGACACCGGGCAGCTGGAGCACCTGCAGCACCGGGGCCCCGAGGAGCTGGCCGCCATCTAGACCCGCCTTCCTGCTTTGTAACGTCTAAGTTATTTATCAGCACTTTGAGGCTCGCGCGGTTAACCCTGCTCACAGAGCCCGTCTGCGGGTCCAGCACGAGGCGTCCACTGTCTCAGCCTGTCTCCTGCTTCAGCACCTGCGTGTCCCACAGATTAAACGTCTGCCAAACTCCCACCAGTGCCCGGTTTCTTTTCTCTCTTTAAGTGGAAGTTGAGAACCTCAGGCAGGAGCTGAGGCGGCTGTAAAGGTCTGCTGGGCAGGTTGGGGGGTGCTGGCAAGTATTTTAGAGGGACCCTGACCAGACCACAGGCAAGGACACTCTCACAGGAGGGAAGGCGGCTCTGACACACAGGCGTGCAACGCTAAGGCAGAGACCGACCTGCACCAGGGCGCGGCTGAGGTGACCCCTCCTGTAAAGCAGAAACAGACCTCGAGGTGGTTTAAGCCCGAGGAGAGTTCACAGGCCAGCCCCGCGCTGAGGCCGTGGAGGGCGGCTCCCCGGCCCCTCGTGCAGCCCCAAGGCCCGCATGAGGGGCTGCGGGGCCACCCCTGCTTCCTGGGGGCCAGGGAGCTCCTGGCCCAGGTCTGCAACGGAAAGCGTCCTGCCTCTGCTCTCTGGGGCCAGGGACAGTCAGGGCACAGCCTGGGACCAGACCCGGGCGGGGAGACGGCGGGGGGCAGGCTGCACAGGGTGGCTTCTGTCTGAAGGCACGGCGGGGCTGGAGGAGTCAGACGCCTGAGCGAAGCCGAGGTTGGAGGGTGACACCATCGCCCCCTCAGGGTCCTCCAGGCGCGACCCCGGCCCCGCGCCGTGTAAGCGGATGTGGGTGTGGGGACACCTCTGTCCCTTCGTGCATGCCCCATAAAGGCTCTAAGAACTACTATGTTACCAAAGTGTCGTTTAAAACAACACAAGTTCTAGGATTAATTAGATAAAATAAGCATTTATACCATTAGAAGGCCTTGCAGTGTGTGCACCCCGACACTGAGCACATGATTACTTCCGTTCCTTCACGAGTGCTCTAGCTCCTTCAAGACAGAAGAGTTCTCATCTGACTGGCCAGGCGGTTCCTTTGGCAAAATTTTAAGCATGATATATATGGGACGAGATTTCTGGGGAAACAATAACTTAAAGGGTCACTGAAGTGACACGCCGGCCAGGAGGGGCCCAGCCCCGCTATCTCACTATCCACGACGGGTCCTTCGCGGTCCGCGCGCTGTCCGGCCCCAGCAGCGCCAGGCCGTGCGTGCTCCTCCCGGGGCCCAGGTACCTGCAGCGGGCGGGCAGGCAGACGGGGTCAGGCAGGCGCTCGCGGGGTTGGGGGTCAAGGCCCCAACCCCAAGCCACTCGGCTCCCCTCACCTGGTGCTCACGTCGACCAGGGCTTCGCGGTGGACGGCAAAGAGCTGCTCACGGTGCTTCTGCTTCATCTCGTCCGAAAGGCCGTACAGGAAGTGGTCCAGCCCTGGCGGGAGCGCGGGTGAGGGAGGCCGCCTGGAGCACTGACCCTTCCCCAGTCACTTATGGCCCGTTTCCACCAAAGGTCACACCGTGGACCGTCACCTGCCTGCACGGCAGTCTCCTCCCTGACTGGGGTCTGAGACCACGAGCCCCATCCTCATGCAGGGGCAGACGCTGGGTTGTGCATCACGGGGTGGGGGGCCCCCGTGCCGTTACTCACACCACGTACCTCTGTCTGACGGAGCCACGGGGGAGTCCACGGCCGAGAAGACGGACAACTTCGCCTCGTCGATGTCCTGCTGCGTGAACCGCCCAGACCTGGCCCAGTCCACGGCCTTCATAAAAGACTGCAGCGTTTCCGTGGAACGGGGGTCCCTGGGAGACCACGGAGTCAGAACCACGCTCGCTTACCAGCGGGAACACAGGGGCGGCCACCCTTCAACACTCTGTCCAGACGGCCCCCAACAGCCGACGCCGTGGGATCTGCACAAGCCACCACATGCTCTCCCTGGAGACCTGGCCCATCCCCCAAGCTGCGCCCCAGAGTCCGAAATACCCCTCTGGCCCAGAAAGAGGGCAGGTCAAGTGACTGGAAGGAAGAGAAGATGCACCAGGGTGGTCTAATGATCACCCCGAGCAGGGCCAGGTTGAGGGACCCCCAAATGAGTGGAAGGAGAGCCCCAGGCCTGTTGTCCACGTGTGCATGGGGGCGGGTGTGGGGTGCATCTTGTGGGAAAGGCCTTTTTCTGTCCTGTCGACCATGTCCAGCACGTGTCCCAGGACAAGGCCACCGAGAGCAGAGACAGGAGCCAGTGGGGCCGAGACCTCCCTTCTCCGAGGGGTCAGAGTCGTGCCCTCAGGCAGCAGGGTCGAAAGGGCAGGAGCCGTCTGTGCTCTGAGGACAGGCCCAGCCCCCGAAAGCTTTTGGGCCAAGGGTTCCCTGTCACCTCCTGCTGTCCCTAAGACAGCAACCAAAAGGACACCGCTGGGTGTGGTTAAATGCCAACCAATGAAGACAGCGGTCCCGGAGCCCACCCCGTGCCCACCCGCCGGGCGGCCGGAGACCCACCTGTAGGAGTACAGCGTGAACAGCCCGCCGTAGCTGAGCTTAGCGCCTCCGCCGTAAGCACCGCCCTTCTCTCGGATCTCCGTGTGCAAGAACTTAGCGGTCATCAGGCGTGCCAGGACCTTCAGACTGAAACGAGCGAGGACGGCAAGTTGTCACCGCCCAGTACTGTGCACGACAGGTGGCCCCGAGGCGGCCGAGTGTGCTGCTGGGTGAAGTCTCGGGCAGTGATTGACACACCGTGCTCGTCTTTCTAAAAACTGGAAGGTGAGGAAGACCCACTGTCAGACAGGCCTGGGTGGCCGGACAGCTGGGGAGAGGGGACCAGGCTTTCCTGAATCACAGCAGGCGGCACGGGCTGAGGGGAGGAGGGGGGCCCGGCTGCGCCGGCGGGCTCTGCCCCCCGGCAGACGGGGTCCACCCTCCACACGCCTCTCCTTAGACATCTCCGCTCTTTCTCTGTTACAGAGGCACACGTTTCACCGCTGGGAAATTCGACGTACAAAGCAGAGAGGGAACAGGCTGCAACCCCACTCCCCGGGGTGGGTCAGGCCTCTAGTCACTCCTGTGTTTTAAACCTACACCTCCCTGTTCAGCAGGAGAAACAGGCCGCTATTCGAGGGCCTGCAGCGCGAGTTCGGATCCTGTGAACGAGGAAAGAAGCGACACGCGAGCCAAGCAGCCCTGCGACCGCCCGGGCGCCGTACCTGGCGTGGTCCGGGTGCGAGTACGGGGCGGTCCTGACACACTCGGCCACGTAGCTGACGGGGAAGGGCAGCAGGAAGTGCGTCTTCACCTGGCAGGGCGTGAAGGTGGGCTCCTGGGGGAAGACAGGCGGGTCACTGGACCCCTGCTCACCTGGGCCCAGGCCGCACAGCCACGTCCCCGCGGGGAGCAGCCCCTGGCGGCTGTCACCACACAACCTCGCACCTTAAGGCGAAAACAAAATACCCCAACCACGTGACCGCACCGTTCACGCCACAGGCGACTGTGCCAAGGGTGCGGCAGGGACCGCAGGGCCCGGGGAGGGGGGCGAGTTTAAACGAGGACCAGATGTGAGGACCAGCACCTGCGCGCGTCCACGCCAACAGCGCTCGGGCCTCAGGGGCGGCGGGATGAGGGGGTCTCGTGGGGGGACTCACCATCACCAGCCTCCTCATCACTGGGGAGCTTCCGCCGAGGGCAGGTCTCTGAAAACAACGTTTCCAGCACAAATGAGAAAACCGCCAAACTCACCTGGGAAGCTCTGAGCGAGCATGAGGCAGGCCTGCTGCGTTTACGGGGACGCTCCGCACCTCCACGATGTGGGGGCGCACGGGCTTCCGCTCCTTCTGGCTCCGACCCAGGCTCCGCACGAACGTGTCCACCGCCGTCCCCGCCCACGACATCTGCTGAGGGGTCGCGTTCACGGAGCACCTGTTGAAAGACGTGGCGTGCAGACAACCATGACCGTGATGCTAAAACAGGGCGCTCTGTGTGTAGACAACAAAGTAAATGACGTGCAAAACACACACGTTCACATCTCAGCGTGAGAACAAAACCTGAACAAAGCAACAGCCAACAGGGGGACCACCACAGCTGTCTCAGCAAGTGCTGTCAAGGCACGGCCGGCCTCCCCTCCCCCGCCCAGTGCCTACGGCCGTCGAGCGGCCACCTGGACTAAACTCTGCGCCCCGAGGATGGCGGACCAGGGACGGCGCAGACCCGCCAGCGACGCCTCCGGGGCTGCAGCATCGGGAGACAGATGACGTAGCCGTAACCACTGTCGGGGGCCGTGGCCGCAGCGGGCAAGTCGACAGCCCTAAGCAGCCGAGGAGCTGCGCCGCTCTGCCCAGCAGGCGCTTCCGAACCCTGCAGCCTCCCAGGGGCTAGCGCCCGAAGGCACCAGGACCACACGCTGTGCCCACAGAGAAGCCCGTCCCATCCTGGCCATAACCCCAACTGTGTTTTGGGAAGTGACAGCAGGTACCACGACAGCGATACGTGCTCCAGGCACCAGACCACGGCTTTGCGCACACGCGTTTACCCCTTGTCGTGCGTCTGCTTTATGCAGGAAGCAGAAGGGCCGTGCGGTCAACTCCCCGAGACGCCGGTGTGAGCACACGTGCAGCCCAGGAAGGGGAAGTCGGCCCTGCCGCCCAGCTGGCCCGGGAGAGCCCGCCGGGCGTTCCCAGAAAAGACACATGGATGCCTTCTGCAGCGAGAGCTGCCAGCCAACTGCAGGCCGGGCGCTGGCGGGGCGCAGCCTCACTGGCTCTCCGTTCTTTCTAGCCCGTCTGTGCTCCCAGACCTGAGCGAGGCTGCGCGGCCGCGTGACGGCCCCGGAGCCAGGGGTCCGGACTCTCACTCTCCGTCTGGAGCACACGCCCCTCCACGGGGTCCCGGGCTCCTGTGCGGAGCCTCGGCTCTGGGGTTCACCTCGCCTGCCCTCCTCCCCACCTCCCAGGATGCACGTTCAACGTCCACACAGAACGGCCCCCCGGCTGGCAGAACAGTGCTCTGTCTGAAGCTTCTGGGACTGTCACTGTGAGCAAAAAGCGCCCCAAAACTGGGCTCCTCGCGTGGAGACGGCGCAGCCCTACCTCAGGTGATCACAGCTCAGCAGGTGCTTCTTGATGCGCGGGAGCTTTCTCAGGACGGGCCTGACGTCTGCCATGTCCGCCACTCTCTGCATCAGCCTCACCTGCGCCAGGCAGAGCACCCACAGGTAGGGCCCGCGCCAGACACCCCTCGGCCAGGCCCGCAGGGACACACCTGTCCGGCTGGGGAGGGATGGGGCCGCGGCTGGAAAGAGGAGGCTGAGCTAAAGAAGTTGATTTCCCCGTAAAACCTGGCTGGAGAGTCAGCTGCTCTGAGACACGAACTCCCAGCCCTGCTCACCTGATCCATCCCCTCGAAGGTCTCCTGCAGGTCCCCCGCGGGCGCCAGGGTCCTGCCGGCCCGCACGGACGCGTACACATGCCCCGCGTCGGGCACCCCGTTGGACAGCTCCTGAGCCGCCATCCTCACCAGCACCCGGAAGTGCTCCTCCTCGTCAAAGCGGGGGCTGAGCGGAGAGGAACAGTCAGCGCCTGGGCAGCCGTCCGCGCCCCCCAGCGGCAGGGACAGCCGCTCCGGGCGAGTCCTCAGACGACGTGAACGCCCCCGAAGCCTCGCGTGGGGACCACAGGTCAGTCTCAGAGACCAAGAGCCGAGACAAGAGCCAAGCCCTCGGCTCTTGGCTGCCCCGCCCGCGTCTACGTCTGTGCAATAGTTACTTGTTGAATATCTCACTCCACAAGTGCATCATGTCTGGCAGGTTTCTATCGAGGCAGAAAGATGAGAAAAGCACACCCTGAATCAAAAGCAAAAAGCAAGACGAAGAGGAAATTAATTATGATGTAATTTAAGAGGGATAAGAACCAAAACACCAGAGGAACAGCCCGACCCCCGCCCGCCGTGCCGGGGAGACAGGCCACCTGCTCGTAGGTGTCCAGGTGCGAGTCGTCCGGGAGCACACAGGGGGCGGCGGCCATGCCCCCCGTCTTCAGCTCCACCTGCTGGGCCTGCTCTCTGTAGCCAAGGACGCCGCAGCCCAGCCTGACGATGGGCAGAGAAACACCGAGTCACTGGCTGGGCTCCCCCTCCCCCCGGCGTCACCTCCGGGCCACATGCCCAGGTGCCTCCCGTCACCCTGCACCAGGTTGCCGCCGGGCAGAGCCAGGTCTCAGTGCAGGGAGCCCCTCAGCAGCACCTGCCCTGCACCGGCCGCCTCCCCGGTGCTTCTCCAGCCTTCCCTACGCCCCTCCTCCCGAAACACGCTGACAGACTCCATCTGCACAGTGCTTGGCAGTCTTGGGGGCGAAATCTGAAAAAACAGCCTTTTTATATATTTAAGGGAAGCAGAAGTCACCTCAACACCGATGATGCTTTTGGGAGAAACATTCCAACCGCTGCTCCCAAAATAGACACAATCCAAGCTTCCTGGATCCACTATGTGGCCAAGGACACACCAATGAAAGGGCAGAAGCGCCTGACGAGGCCAAGGGCTCCTTCCACACAGCCGGACACTGGTCAGGGGCCCCCGCTTGCCCGGCTCCCGCAACGGTCGTCTGCCCACACAACTTCCCTCCGTCTGTGAACCCAGGACGCAGGGAAGGGACCCCACTGGCGTCTCAGTGTCCTCGTGGACAACGGGGACCACAAAACCAGCTCAGTGGGCAGATGCACAACGCGGCCTCTCGGGGTGACCCCAGGCCTGCGTGTCGCGTTTAACGACTCACACTTTCTCATGAAAAACACTCAGGCTCTCATAAGCTTAGGAAGAACCAAGTCGACCAGAAAGATGTTCCTGTGTTACCCTGCACTCTGTAAGTGTCTTAATGTATCTTAATAAGAAAGTATGCTCTTCTAAGAAACTCTCCACACACACTCGGCCCACATCTGGCAACACCTCTAGGGGACGTGAAATGGAAAACGAGTCACTGCGAAGCGGTCACCACGCAGGAAGAACACACACGCAGGGCACGCCTGTCGCGGCGCCGCGCAGGGCCGGCGGGGCCTTACTTGGTGAGGACGGCGCAGAAGAGGGGCACGTAGGGCCGCAGCTCCTCGGGCAGCGTGTTCAGGCTGGACAGCGCTCGGAAGTAGACCAGGCCGTTGGTGGGCTGCGCGCAGAGCTGCACCGGCGTCTCGCCGCCTGCGGGGGCGAGAGGTGCCCTGAGCGTTCAACATTTTTTACCACATAACCGTCGTTTACTATCTTTAAAATGCTAATGCTTTCCAAGGATGGAAATTTAACATTTATATTAACTAAAAAACAAAACAAAACCCTATTCATTTGCTACAATGCAGGCAAATTTCCCTCCTGTACTTTTATTATGGCAAAACCTGCAAGTCTTCAGCCCTCAGCGACCCCTGCTTTCCGAAGAGCGAGCGGTCAGCATGCCCCGGGGCCGGTGACCCCCCCAGCCCTCCAGCCGCCTCCCCACCTGCACCCGGAAGCCCTGGCGTCAGCGTGGCCTCCGTTCCGGCAACAAGCGACCTCACTGCCCCCCACCACCCAGGCCCCGGCCCCTCGGGGGAACTGCCTGGGCTCCAGCGGCTAACCCCACACAGAGCCCGAGCCAGCCGAGGACGTGCGGCTTTACTGACGACTCAGTACTTGGCTGGTTCTTTCCACGGGCACTTAAAGCTCCACCGACAAACCAAACCTAAGGGGTTAAAGGGCCAGTGGGACGCCAACCCCGCTTCCCGGAAGCCTGGTTGGGAAGAGGGTTCATTTACGGGTGTGCACACGCGCACACGCCAGCCGGGTGTGGTGCCCAGGCTGCCCCGCTGGAAGAGCAGGAGGCAGACACGCCCCAGAGGGCAAGGGGGTGCTGGTGTCCAGGTGCCGGGCCGCGGTTGGACGTCCCCGGGACACGGTGGCAGAACCAAATCCCGGCCACGTGGAAGCACCACGTCCCAGGCGTGTCCCCTGCGTCAGGCAGAACTCAGAGTGACATGGGGCCGACCTGGGGGGCTCCGATGATGGAGCAGCAGCAGCTGTCCCCCCAACATGGCCTGACACAGGCTGGGCCCCGGGGACACCCGAGTCGGGAGGAGCGAGCTCGGACAGAGCACAGCAAAGCCCCAGCCCAAGGACCAGAGGCAGCAGGACGCCTGTCTGACCTGCCCAGCAAACAGCCCCTCCTGGGTCCACGCCCAGCGTCACGGCGAGTACCTACTACAGAAATGTGTGTGTGTGCGGGGGGGGGTGTGACGACACAGGGGCTCGGATGCCCTCCCTGGTACGCTGGGCGGGACCCAAGCCGGGGTGCCAGCCCACTGACCTGCCAGCACCACGTCCAGCTCCGTCACTGGGATGCGGGGCTCGATGTCTGACACCTTCAACGCAGGCAGGCAGGACGCATCTTGGGGTCGACTCTGCTGGGTCTGTAGCTCTAACCCTGGAAGGTGGGGGATGGACCTTCAGGACGACACTGAAAAGGTCCCGCGCATCCGTCTCCTGTCTGCTGAGGCCCAGGACGGGTCGGCCACGCAGGCATGTGCCGGCAGCTGGGCCACCGCCGTCCCAGGTGTCCCCTGTGCCCAAGGAAGCCAGCGCATAAGAGCGGCCACTGCTCAGCAGGCAGCACGGTGGCTCAGTCCCACCCCAGCGGTTACAGGAATGACTCTGCTGGACGTGGGGGCGGGGGGAGCTTCGTCCACACAGCTTCCCCTCCGTCCCCCAAATTCTGTGTAGACGGAACTTGCTTTCAGAGCTTTCAAACCACTTCTGGCTGGACTCAAACCCACTCATTTCTGTACCTGTTCATTCTTATTTTCACTAATTTCCACAAAATACGTGTGTGACCACGTACAGTTCACAAATCATAAAAAGGGGTAAAACACATCTTCTGGGCCCAATCCTCCCCTGATGTGATGTGAGGAAGGCAGCCCTTTCTCGGGGTCATTCCGGGACCGGAGGCTTCAGCGCGGTGTGTGACATCAGAGCCCTGGGC